GTGCTATGTATGTAAATTCCCCTAATTTTAAAATGCGCTTCTCAAATAGCAGATGAACACTTACTACGAATAGCAGATGAACACTTACTACTGCAAATCTATAAATAACTAAGCTGAAGAAAATCTTTTTAGAAGTAAACAAAATAATAGATCCTACCTTGTTGTTCCTAGCCATACCAAATAAAGTTGCTTGAAAACGTAATGTTTCACTTCCTGCCATAGCATCAAGTTGTTCCTCAGTCATGTTCTCAGTGTACTGAACATTTGCCATTTGTTGAATAAGCTCCTGTAAATTTGATTTAAAAAACAATAAAACAAAGAAGCAACGTGTTGAAGGAAAAAAAAAGATAGACAACAACAATATTAAAAAATACCTGAAGCAAAACAAGCTCAATGCCCACACCCTTCTTCAATTGGTTAACAAGATACTGGAAAAGGCCTCTCAACTCCATTGAGGGGTACTTCTTGCACCTGGAAGAAATTATTAATAATTGAATAACAACAGCAAAACCAAACTTGTGGGGTACATCCGTCCAATTTGGGTAAAAAATAATGAAATGCAACAAAATAATAATAATAATAATACAAATCTACATGAGCATACAAAAAAGTAAATGCAATACATCGAATGTAACAACAATCTAACAGCAAAGTGAAAAGTATATCAAAAACACAACCTGACCTCGTTGAATAGCAATAAGCAGTGATAATCACCCTATGAAGACTGGCTTCTGCTATGGCTAAGATGGATTCCCTTAACCAAGCCACTGCAAATGAGTTGTCAGCTCATTCTTCAATAAACACATAGTCAGAGATCACACTCTTCCAACTACTAGAGAGCTCAAGATTTCATGTTCTATTTCACTCCCCAATTGGGGTTCTTTTCACCTTTGCCTCACAACGCTACTTCACTATCTGTTGCCCAGGAATATTTAGCATTCCAAAAGGCGGCCCTTTGTAACTCATATTGGATTCCACGTGCCCCATGGTACTCGGGTCAAACTGTAAGCTAGTGATGCTTTCTGCTATTGGACTATCACCATTTAGGGTGTAGCACTCCATCGCTTCGCCTTGTAGCATGGCGCTTGTATTGCTCTCCCATAACCCTATATGCACTATTTAGATTGCTCCCATTTCGCCCGCCACTACTACGAAAATCACTTTTGCTTTCTTTTCCTCTGGCTACTAGATGTTTCAGTTCATCAGGTTGTCTCTTGTCTGCCAAAGGATTCAACATTAGTTGCAAAAGTTGACCTATTAAGGAATCTTCAGATCTATGTTTATATTCAACTCATTAAGCATTTCATCGCTTGCCATGCCTGTACTCATCTCCTGATGCCTTGGTACTATAAGCCTTTTGTCATTTGAAACTCATTTAGGGTGCAGCACTCCATCGCTTCGCCTTGTAGCATGGTGCTTGTATTACTCTCCCATAACCCTATATGCACTATTTAGACTGCTCCCATTTCGCCCGCCACTACAATGAGAATCACTTTTGCTATTTTTTCCTCTGGCTACTAGATGTTTCAGTTCGTCAGGTTGTCTCTTGTCTGTCAAAGGATTCAAGTTTATATTCAACTCCTAAGCATTTCATCGCTTGCCACGCCTGTACTCATCTCCTGATGCCTTGATACTATAAGCCTTTCGTCATTTGAAACTCACTATCTAGGGAAAGGTTGTGCTACCTTAAAATGATGCTAAATGGAATGATCTTATCAATATACATGAATGATAAATCATAGACCGAACTGCTGAATTAGATAAATTAAGTGATATCATAGAATCAACTAAGATCACGGGCTGGGGATAATCAAACTTGAACTGTTGACATCCACCAAAGAGTAAACCACCTATCATGCTTTTCCGGTTGATTCTACTGCAGAGACCAATGACAAACAACACAATAACTCCCCTCACCCTCGAGCAAAGCTTACAACATTCATCGTAGTGTGCTCTCCAAAGAACTCTTCTCAAAAATCTCAAAAAGGTGTTGAGTTGGAATAACATTCAAAGGATTCTTGTGGTTTCGGAGAATCAAGCTACAAGTGAACCAGTGACAAAGAGTACTCCCCCCTTTCCACTCGACTTTTGGTCTTCAGAATGTTGGTTTTAAAAACGAGTGATCGCCCTTCTTCGACTCTTACTGCCCAACCAGAGAACGAACAACTAACGCCTTCCAATTATTGAATAGGGTCTATAGTCAGATTGCAACCCCTAGATGACAAAAGCATCCTTGGGGAGATCTCATAGATTCTACATGGTGGAAACGATGAGTTCATGGATTTTCCTTCCTTTTGCCGCATTTTGCTCAAAAGGCTGAAGGGAGATAATGCATCCAATTATTCGCAAGCACCGGCTTGATCCTCTTTCCTTGGGATCCCATATGAGAGAGCCCTAGAAGAGCCATTGACTCCAACTATCATACCTGTAAGATCCATACTAGATCTGACCAACTGCCCATCCTACCTCTACGTTCTTGACAACCCATCGTTTCGTCTCAGAAGACTATTAGTGGCATGTTTCGATCCTCTTCTCTACTCCTTTCCTTAAAAAAAATGAGCCGCCAATTCAATTATAAGATACTACCATAATCGTCTGGATAATAAGACATCCAAACCGTAATTGCAACGCCCAATTGCAAGAGCAGAGCTCTACCCACTGAACTATATCTCCCGAGCCAAGCGAAGCATGCATGAAAAAGTCAGATGCTTCTTCTATTCTTTTCTCTAGTGCAATTAGGTCATCTTGGGCTTGAACCATAGACCTCACCTATGAAGTAAATCACCGCACCCACAATCCAACCAATTGGGAGAGAATCAATAGGTTCTTTTTCGAGAGAAGGAACTTAGTAAAAGCACTTAAATAAAATTATGTAAAATATTCTAATACATGAAAATAAGGATAGAAAGAGAAAATACAACAGAAATTTGAGAATTCCAAGTTAAACAAAAGACAACATCACAACAACCAAAATCACATAAATAGGCATATGGACTAAAATATGTTGTTTTCTTCCTATTTCTCTCATAAAATCAATCACTATCAATTTCATCTCATCATCAATCATAATCTCTTCTCGAGGTGTATTCTAGCATATCCCATATATTTTTTGAACTCATCCTTCTTCCTAGAAGACGTACCTATTCAAACTTTTAAGTTCTTGATCCTACATTTGATCAAAGCTTACTAATAATTTGCACCTTTGTTTCCCCAACTCTCAATGCGCTTTTTACATAACCATATGTCAAATTCCAAGAAACTAACTAATCTTTTATATTTGAACAATTAAAACTAGGAAATTTGAATTTACATAGCTCATAAAAACCACAATTGGAGAAATATTCTCATTATTTAGTTTTAAAAGTTCATTTCAGAATTAAATACCTCCATCTTTTACAAATAGAAGTTGAAACTCTCGTTAAATAGGTATGCGACCTTTCGATCAAGGATCTGCTCATGCAACCTTTCGATCAAGGATCTGCTCAACCCTTCCTCTTACAAGCACCATTTCTATATCTAGAAATTAGAGAGCGTGTTCAAGCAGTGGCAAAGTTCCACGATGCCGGTCTCTCCATTAATCATATGTTCAAGATTAGTAATGTTACATATTTGCTAACTTAGAATTAAACACGTTGTTCAACACTAAACCCAGATAGTTATCTAATATCTTTTTCTCTGCTCAACTATAAGTCTGTTGTAAGATTCTACCCATTCCAATCAAAGTTCTAAAAAAATAAGCACCACCATGAAGTAAAAATGCAGGACAGGAAACGGAAGCACAATCAACTACACGTTAACACATGCCTTCGTACAAAGAGTTGAAACATTTTTCGTTACAGCATAAGAGTTGAAGAACAATCAACTTAAATTTGAGAATAATCAAACAACGTTAGAGCATAAATTGGATGCCTAACAAATTTTGTTCAAATTTTCGTACATAGGGAGGATAAAAAGGATAATAATGAGGTGTTTGCTACTATTCATTCATTCATTTAAAGTTGATGATGAGGTGCAGAGGAGGTGGTGGATTGTGATACGAAGTAGATGAGGGATTAATCCCTTGCTATTGCACCTACAAGTAGGTTAATAAGATAGGAGATGGTAGCCCATCTCTTATTTTTTTGCATAGGATCAATAGAAAATCATTGAATTATAAGAGCAGAAGGAAAAAAAAAGCATTTAACTAAAGATTTTAAAGATTCATCAGAAATAAGGCATAAGCTCATAATACCAATACCATTGATCCCTTTTTACCCGACTGTTGAAGACAAATTATCTAACTTCAGGAGTTGGATGCCAGGATTACTAGATAATTCTAAAGATAAAGCGATATTGATAGTAAAGCACAGTGTGGTTTTAATAGTTGAATAAATTTAATACCAAAATTAATAGTAAGGTGAGAAATTGTACCAAGCAATTAAAAATTACGCAGATAAAAAAAAAATTAAAAATTAATATATTAACATTCCAACACATAAATATATTAGAGAGAAATATTGATATTTTAGCATGATGAGAAGTCAAAAATTATGTCAATTTTAAGCAACAAATTGTGCAGCCCTCAAAATATCATGTTGTAACAAATTGTGCAAAGTAAAAATATAATGTTTTGACGCGATTATGCAATAGCGTGTTATATATACAACAACAAAACCTTTATCTCACTAAGTGGGGTCGGCTACATGAATCCTTTTTCTCCATTGTGTTCTATTAATCCTAATAAATTAAGATCATTTTTTATTCAATACGCCCAAGTCATCTTAGGTCTACATCTTCCTTTCTTAACACATTATTATTTCAAATAATAATGTGTTATATATAAAATAATTAAAACTTATGTACTTACATATTATTATTTTATTTAAATTCTGTTAACACAAAATAAGACATGTGAAGGAGGAGACGAGCTATAGGCATAAAGTGTCACAGGATGTGTGGCATATGAAAATGACAATCTTTAATGATACGAATTATATTTATACAATATATATACTTAAAACCAACTTTTAAAAATGAAAAATTTAATTTGAACTTTAACATAATTCTAATAAATTATAACTAAATAAAATACAGGCATATGTATATATATATATATATTAAATAGAAAGTAAGATACAGATATATTGTATGGGAAGACCCAAACATGGCACCCTGCTCACACAATAATCACCACATCAAATGTTTCTAAAAAGAGAAAATACAGCAAAATACATGATAGACCTAAAGAAAAAAACTAAAAAGTGCCAAAATACGGGGTATCAAGTAGCTAGAGAGCGACCCAATTTTGCCTTGCCTCTGCCTCTAGTTTTAGGGAAGGAGCCAGTTAATAAATTGGTAAGATGAGTGTCATTGCTAGTAGTAACCAATGTATCATCCAATAAATTCTCGAGCTCAAGTTGGCCTCTGTTCTTTTTCTTCCTCCTGGAATAGACCCATCATTCCTCATCCGAAGATTGACTCACCTGATCAGTGAAAAGTTCTAAAGTGTGTCAGACATGTGTAGGTTTTCAAACTACTTGTTGTACAAGCTGATCTTTTATTGAATCAGGAGAGCAGGAACATTCTCGTGTGTCATGACATGTAAGTGGGTCTTCTTCAATAACATTGAGTGGTATCAGCAAATTTTGGATCTTCATCTGGAACTGCGGTGTTAGAAAGAGGATCGGGTTGCACCTTCTCAGCAGAGATGGTAGGTGGAAGATTTTTAGCGATATTCGGCCTTAGATGAGGATGCAAACGATAGCAAATAGTAGAATTGTGGCCAAACATACTACAATGAGAGCAATAAGAAAGGTGTGATTCTATTTCAACTTTTTGTCAACACCCGTTGTGAATAATGTTAATTCATACCTCATCCGGAGCTGGTTGAGTGATCTCTCTCAACTAACACACAAGTCACAGAGGATTTGGTGACAGCAAACGTAGGACTATCAATTTTGAGAGACTTACCGTAAACAGTTGCTAAAGAGTAGAGAATTTTTAAGTTGAATAGATGTAATTTTAACCCGAAAACTTTATCCAAACAAGAATGATAAGGGACTCCGCTTTTAGACCAAAATTGACAATCCACTTCAAAATTTTCATAAAACGGTTGTCGATCTTGATAACTTTTCGAGAGAAAATGCGAGTGTAATCGTCATCGTGAGAGAAATTAATAAGTATATGTCAACCGACAAGTAAGCCAATATTCCAACTACCCAATAGCTTCATAGCATCAAACTCTTTCGGAATGATCTCCAATTTCGGGTGACCATAAAGGAATTTCCGTACTAGAGCAAAACACAAAGAGAACGCGAGAGTGCTGGTTTCAACCTCAGTGAAAATAAGAGCATATTTTCTATTTTTTGTCAAACTTTTTAATGAAATTGTGATCACCACCACCTTCAAGAGCGTCATGAAAGGAAAGATTGAGGAACATTGCAGGACTTGCCAATATGAAAACCAGACTCTGAACCTGAAAGAGGAGCACGAGTGGGAATAAGAAAGTCGTCGGTAAGTGCATTGGCATAGGAACGCATCGTCGAAGTCATAACAGATCTCATAGCCGTCAGCGTCTCCTGTTGAATCCCAAAAACCCGTAACAGTCGATGTCTCCTCGAAGGGACGAAGCAGTCGGCGTCTCCTGCTGAGAGTGTCGAGAAGACGTTAACGTCGGCACGACCTAGCGTGTCGTCTGGCGCAGACGAGGGCCGTATATATGTTCCGTTCTGCTAGGGTGTCACCTCATGGCGAACCCTAGCGTCTACTACACGGGATCTCTCGCGTCGTCTATTTCCATGTTTTGTCTTCGTCGTTGAAGTTGAAGTGCTCGCGCGTCGTGTTTTTGGAGGCAGAGCTGTGTTGCGGTGCTCTTTATATATATATATATATATATATATATATATATTAACGGTCTTTTATCATCAACTGTAAAATAGCCATAAGCATGAATTGGACAATCGTAGAAAGTTGGGGAAATAAAAATGCTTAAAATTAGAAGTTATTCAATGTTAGACATAAATCACATGAGTAACAGTTTCTGTAGGCAAAATCAACCAAATGTTGCTATTATGCAAGTTCAATTTTAATGAACTACAGACTTTGGGAAACGTGAGAAACAAGTCATATTCCACCTTAAAAACCTATAGAATACAGAAGCAAAAACACGAAAGTGCTAAACAAACCTAAAAACATGTACAAATGATCAACAACATCTATAAGATATCATAAAAAAGTCACAAAGTTATGCCAGTAAAATTTGTCGTATCCAAAGAGGGAAGATCCTTACAAGTGACCCCAAAAACATGCAAGAGACTGGAGCCAGTCTGATAAATTAAGTCCATCATCTTTTAGCTTCTCACGCCCACCTTGTGCCAAACGTTCAATTACAACATATTCCAGAATATCATACTCTAACTGCACACAAGAAGAATTGTCTTTTAGGTCTTTACAGTTAAAGATGCACAAGAAAATTCTCTACCAAAAATGAAAGCAACAGGAATAATGTGTTAAAAAGTGAGGCTAGAAAAAGATGAGGGGAAGAAAATCATAACCACGTGCTTACTATAACATTAGTGAATCAGGGATCAGGTCAGTAGAGACCTATTTATCAGGCAGACATGAATCCCACAACTACAATTTAATAAGCATTTCTTAACTAGAATATTGGACAAAGAGATGCATTTTGATAAGACTTTTGATCACAGAAAATATCCATATGATTTCAATCTTATTGCTAAGACCAACGAACGGGAAGAGGGGTTTAGGAGCCTTAATTTGGTAGGACTGTAAGCAAGTGCCAATCAGACATGGAGCTAAACCGTGGACTAGAAGAAACAATCCAAATGGTTTATGAAAAATCTAACTGGATGTGGCAATCAAGTTAAGAAATTTTATGAATTTGTGAAAAAAAATGTGCATCACTTTGCAGGAAAATTAAAAAAAGCCCTTTTATTAGTCCTGAATCATTCCACAAGTAAAGCCCTACAAGCCTAATTTATATCCAAGATGGCAACACCTTTGAGCATGCAATTCTTCATATTAAACCCAACAACAACAACAACAACAACAACAACAACAAAAACAAAGCCTTAATCCCACTACGTGCGGTCGGCTAATTCTTCATATTAAACCCGCTTTGAAAATTTCAGTTTTAAGGTCATTTTGGACGCATATATACCTACAAAAAAAAAACATTTATACAAAAGCATCACTTCCTATGTAGCGTATGTTCCCCAAGTTCTAACTACGGTACCGACCAGCAATATGGAAGTATGTGGGCTCTAAATGATGTGATAGCCAAGAACTTCTAGACAATTATCAAGTTCAATGGACCTACCACTTGTATGAATACGATGACATGACACGGACAAAGGACATGACACGGACAAAGGACAATGGACATGGGACAATACGATGACATGACACGGACAAAAAACATGCCTATTATTGAAAATATAAGACACAATCATGCATCGGAAATGTCATTATAATATAAATTAGTAAAATATATATAATTAAATAAACAAATAATTAAGAATAATACAAAGATAAAAGAGAAAAATTTAATAACACTAAGAACTTGTTTGACGTAACTTTTGTTTAATGTTTTAGTTAATGTTATATATATATATATTAAAACAAATTAAATTGTATTTAAAAATAATTAAAATGTATAAATCGAAGCATACATTATTTTATATTGCATCAAGATTTAAGTTTTCTTAATCAATTATTCATTAAAATAAATAAAATGATTATTAGCTTCTTTGGCACTGAATAATTATGTTTACAAAACTAACACCTAAATTATGATTTTTTTTATATTTATGCCAACCAAAATCATTCGTAGCACAACTAATATATCAATATTTTCAATTTTAAAAAGTGAATTATACATTTTCATATATACGTAAGGCGGCATATATATAAAAATTGAATTTTAGGTTTTAGATATGTAAACAATAAAAAATGATGGATATGTATTTAATTCTTTCTTAAATTTAGTCATAAGAATATTATTTTTAGAAATTTTTAATTCATTAATTTAGGACACACGTGTCATGTGTGTGTTATCTTTTTTTAATATGATTTAAAGTGTTCACCTCTATGTTGTGTCTGACACGTGTCGGAGCCGTATCCATGTCCGGTACGTGTCTGACACTTCACGATTCCTAATTAAAAATCTTCATATAGCATAGTTAGCTATTCATAAAATTGGGTTAGGCTATAAATTTATGTTTAATTATTAAATTTCAAGATAAAAGAAAATGATACAATTTGCAATGCCTTTTATATTCTGCACATGAATGACATTCATAATTTTTTCATTATTATCAAACTTGAAACACTGCTCGATTTTTTAATGAAATTAAGTTAACATGTTATCTTTCTTTACATTTGTTCGTAAAGCACATGGAACCCATGAATCATTAGTTGAGTTGAGGGGTTCCACAAAACTAACCATTGTGATTATTAGATCTTCAACAAAATCAAGACAACTGCACCAACTTTTAAAATATAAAGTCTTATTTACTTTCCAATAAAGCGCCATGCAATATCCTTATAAAAGGACTTTTTGGTCAAATCTGAAATCTGAATAGACTAAAGGTTATTGATGTTTTAAACTCTGTTAGTTATCAGTATTACCAAGATTTTAAAAAACGGATCAGCTATTGAACCTAAAAGAAAAGCTTAAAGGTTTAAAGGTTCAACAAGGTTGCAAATGGGGCTGAACCGGCTGAAATAACAAAATAAAATTATTTAAATATTACTTAAATAACGTAAAAATAACATAAATATGTCATAATTAAAAATAAATATTTCTTAAAATATAGAATTTACACCAGAAATATCTTCTGTAATTTTAAATTTAAAATTATTCCAATTCTAATGCTAGCATTTCTTACTTTCTATTAAGTTTTAACAATTTATTTACTTAGATTATTAAATTCGAAATTAAATTTTAACAATTTAATACAAAAAATAATCAAAATTTGATCATGGTAATAAGCACTCTCCAATTTAATGAAATTGTAATCAATTCACTGGTTAATGGGTTCGACTAACAGTTCTCCCAATTCCAGACAATTTTTGTGTTGGAGTAGTTTTATCAGGGGAACGAATCGGCTGAGAGATTGTTTCACAATTGAACTGATTAGGCCGATAACACTTTTAAATCAATGACTATTATAAATGTGATTTGCATAAATTGTTACTTCAATGATCACGAGCTACCATATTAAACGTAGATACACCAATAACATGAGTTGGTAGTGGAAGAAGCCACCGCTAAAGCTCTTGTGCAAAATATAGGAACAAAGAACAAGAAATAGTATCATTTCTACCAATAAAATAAAAAATATATCTGTGTTAGATATTTTAAACTTTTTGGTCAAAATGTAATCTGAATTGACTAAAGGTTTTTGATGTTTTAAATTCTCTTGGTCATTAGTATTACCAAGGTTTTAGAAATCAAACCGGCTATCGAACCTAAAAAAAGCTTAAAGGTTTAAAGGTTCAACAGGTTTGCATTTGGAGTTGAACTGGCTGAAATAGCATACTAAAATTAATTTAAAAATAGTTATATGACGCAACATACACACACACACACACACACACACACACACACATATATATATGTGCATATGATAATTAAAGATACATATTCCTTAAAATATATAATTTACACAAGAAATATCTTCTATAATTTTAAATTTAACCATATTCCAATTCTAATGGTATTTTAAATTTAAATTTTATAATTTTAATTATCATAAAAAGGAAGGGGGTCAGCTGGGCATGCAATTGGAGGAAAAACTTAGGGAGCTAGGATTTCTTACTTTCTCTTAAGTTTAATATTTTATTTTATTAAATTATTAAGTTCAAGATAGAATTTTAACAATATAATATGAAAAATAGTCATAATTGGATCATAATAATAAGAACTGCCCAATTTAACAAAATTGTGATCAATTCATTGGTTCGACTAATGGTTTTCCCAATTTTAGACAATTTTGTGTTAGTGGTTTTATCAGGGGATCAAATCAGCCGAGAGATTGTTTCACAGTTGAACATACTCGGTCAAACCTATTTTTAAAACAAGGACTATTACAAAAGTGATTTGGAAAAATTGTTACTTTAATTATCACGAACTACCATATTAAATGTAGATACACCAATAACACGAGTTCGTAGTGGAAGAAGCCACTGCTCAAGCTCTTGTGCAAAATATAGGAACAAAGAATGAGAAATAGTATGATTGAAACCAATAAAATAATAAAAAAATGTACCTGCGTTAGATATTTGAAAGCATCTACAACCGGTGTTACCATATCCTTGTATGCCTCGATCTACAAGGCAAGGTTGTATAATTAGATTTATGATAAAATTCACAATGATGAATGTGCCAATTTAGAATTTATAAATGGTCAGCAAAATTTATGGATAGGCATGGTACCTGGTGAACAATAGTCCGTAAAACGGTCATTGGATTAGAATGAGCAAGCTTGGCCACCATGCGACCGAGTTGCTTTAAGTTTTCTTTGGCAAGCCGTTTCAATAATCTACGAGTGTCCAACTGAAAAAAAAAATGAATAAAAAATTAACTGAGCAACACTGCATATGGAAAGAACAGAGTAAACTTTCATGAACCTTTGCAATCTGTCTTGCAGCAAGGACCATGGGAATGCGTTCATCATCCTTCTCCCATTCACCATACAGACGATAGCGGGCCTACAAATATCAACTGCCCCCATGAAATACTGTATGCACAACCTCAAGAACAATAACAAAGAGAACAACATGCAAACCTCATATGGAAGTAGAGAAAGAACTTCCCATATCTCCTGACCTACTGCTGGATTTGCAGGTATTAACTGCAACGAAGGAAGCAAACAAGCTCCTAGAGCCTCCTCAACCCTCAACCTGGCTTCCTTGGCTCGAATGCCAGGATGCTTTCTACTTAAATCCACAGAAACAATAGGAATCAGATTTCCAGCAACACTTGCAGATTCCTGAGCAGAAAGATAGAATGCTTTTAGCACTCGGCAGACCTGCATGGAACAAATTACACATAGAAATGCCAAATTAGTAATTTCAACTTCAATACAAATAATAATACACCAGCTTAACGACAAGACAATAAAAGAACTTTAAAAACCTAACCAAATACGACAAACTCAGCAAATACATAGAAGGCAAAATACAACTGGTATTACCCAGAAAAAAGTACATCACATTAACCTCTATTTAATGCCATACCTTCTGCAAAAGAATGGTGTCACGATGTAGATAAGGACCAGCAGCATTAAGCATCTGAAAAAGATCTCTGGAAAGATCAACTCGAGGAATTGGAACCAATGAAGTCATTCCTGATTCTGTGATATCTGAAGAAGTAGCAAAGGAGCTGCCAATGTTTTGGAGATGCGTTTGGCAAACAATAACATAAGAAGAAGAGATGCTCTTCTCTATAGCCCTAAGAAAATAAATTAATATCATTTAAGGAAGTGAATTGTAAATGAGGTCAAAAAATTACAAGGATTTAATCGGAATTAATAGAAATTCATAAATCCGCCTCAAATAAAAGGGGATAAGCCTATAAAAAAACACAACCAGATTCGCACAAAGGAAAAAATTTTATGACAATCCAAATGTACAAGTCAATGATGTTGGCATGTTTTTGCAATATAAAGTATAATATAAAACCTAAAGAAATCATTCAGAATCACATAAATATACAAATATTGCATTCTAATAAAACCTGCGCCATAAAAAAAAATTAATAAAATAAAAATACATAATCTAGGTGCCTTAAGTAGCATAGATATGGAATCTTCTAAGATACATTGCATGGATCCAGAAGAAAAAAGGTCAAGAGCACGTCTATGAAAAGCTTACATTATTCAGAAAACTCACAATGCAAGCACAACAAATCTCATAAAAAAACGCAAATATTATGACTAAATACCTAAATAAGCCTTCACAGACAAGATAATGTGCAACTGGGTTCAGATGAGAGAGCCTGTCAAAAAGAACTTGAGCATGATACCTGGAAGAGGAAGAAAATACCGATATAACCAAAGGTACAAGACAGTCAAATTCATCAAATATACATTTAAGTTAAAAATACCAAAAAAAAAGTTCATAGTAAAACATTACATAGAAACAGCATACAAGAAGTTGGAAAAGCATGAGAATAAATACAATGCTTGGATTAAGGACATTGAACTTTAAAGAAAAGTGATGTACCTACATTCAAAAAGCCGAGCCTATCTTTGTTATAAACTTACTTTCCAAAAATAGTAAATAAGTTAGAACCGGAGGATCAACCACCTTCATTATTGTACCACACACTGATCCAAAGAAACGAAACTGAACTACTTCTGCCTCCAGTTTCATTAAAACAGCTATTACAGAATAAATCAGAAACTGCATAAATACCCCCCTCTATTACCACAACAAAATATTGACACAAATAAATAAGCCTGAAGTCGCTGCCACTTCCAGTGCCACTAAAATAGCCACTCCCACAATTACTCCAGAAAAAGAGATAAGCACGACTAGAATCTAGATTAACAGTTTAATCAAGTGCATTAAGTTAAATTAATTGTTTCTACCACTGAATGAGAAGTCGAGAGATATATGAGAAAATGTATCTTCAGTTTACAGCTCGAGGAAACTATTTTATTTCTACAGATTCACGCTGGGTAAAGCATTTGCAATTTTGAGGTATAATTTGTTCTAATTGCAACTAAAATTTATAATTTTAGCTCAAGACCAAGTTGGGA